AATGCATTTGGATCTGTCCGAAATGTACTGTTGTATTTCGCGACGTCAGCTGCTGCTCCATGGCGCAATGCTCTAAGTGTAAGTGCAAGAATATGACCTCGCAACGGCGTCCTTGCAGCTGTCTAAGAACCCTAGACTGGTTAGGGGTGACATGCCCCAAATATGCGCGCTCCGCTGATATAAAAAAAAATCATTCCACGGGCAAACTAGATAAACTAGAAGACGTCTTCGGGTCAGAGTTGACATCAACGGATATATACCTACCTGTTCGATTAACCGATTCCCGTACGGGCCGTTTTAATGCGTTCATGTGAATCAAGGGCCAACCCTTTCCTGCGTACTTACCAAAAGGACGATTCTCACGTTGTCTACACATCATAGGTGTTACAATTATTATCCCCTTAATCATACATTTTTGAGAAAATTTAATTAATTTTTTTTTTCACATCTGAAATGAAATTATATTTAATATGATTCTTATATTAAAAAGAAAAAAATATTTATCATTTGTCCTTTTTTTTTGTGCATTTTTACAGATTTCAAACTCAAAGATTTTTTTAGAATTTACATTTGTCCTGAATTGAAAATCAATATTTATTTATTGTATTGTTAGAGCTTTCCAGGGCCTGTTAGTAATTATTCTGAATTAAACTCTCATACATTCATGAAATTATATTTACTATAATTATACTAAAAAAAAATAGATTTAGTTTAAATTTTCAAAAATTTTGAATCATTGTTTTTTCAATAATTTAATATTTATGTTATTGTTTATGTTTTTATTTTCAAATACTAAATCTATTTTAGTAGTATTTTTTCATTTGTCCTTTTTTTTGTGTATTTTTACAGATTTCAAACTCAAAGATTTTTTTAGAATTTACATTTTTTTGTAATAAATTTGTTTTGAATTGTCCTGAATTGAAAATCAATTTTTATCTATCCTTTTTATTCTATTGTTAGGACTTTCCAGGGCTTGTTAGTAATTATTCTGAATTAAACTCTCATACATTCATGAAATTATATTTACTATAATTACACTAAAAAAAAAATAGATTTAGTTTAAATTTTCAAAAATTTTGAATCATTGTTTTTTCAATAATTTAATATTTATGTTATTGTTTATGTTTTTATTTTCAAATACTAAATCTATTTTAGTAGTATTTTTCATTTGTCCTTTTTTTTGTGTATTTTTAGATTTCAAACTCAAAGATTTTTTTAGAATTACATTTTTTTTGTAATAAATTTGTTTTGAATTATCCTGAATTGAAAATCAATTTTTATCTATCCTTTTTATTCTATTGTTAGGACTTTCCAGGGCCTGTTAGTAATTATTCTGAATTAAACTCTCATAAATTCATGAAATTATATTTACTTTAATTATACTAAAAAAAATAGATTTAGTTTAAATTTTCAATCATTGTTTTTTCAATAAATTAATATTTATGTTATTGTTTATGTTTTTTATTTTCAAATACTGCTGTTTTACTTATTTTTTTTTCGGTGGTTTCTTCAGAATTCTTGTTTGTGGAATCGACCTTTTTATAAAAATAGTTAGTTTTTGTTAATATTTATGATCCTCGTTTCATTTTTAAGATATTTATGGTACTTGCATTATTTAACAATTCTAAACATTCTACTTGAAAACTATATAACTAAAATAGAAGTTTTAAAGTGGTTCAAATTCGTTTGGCCTTTTTTGTTACAGAATTGTCCATTTATCTTTTTTACATTGAAAATTTTCTTAAAGATTTCCTAACTTTTACTTTAAAGTTTATTAGCATATCATTTTTGTACCTGTCCCATACATTTCTCCTATTACGGTTAATTTGTATATATTTGTTAAATTTTAGTCTGCTTGAGGAAAAAATTTAAATAAGTTTAATATCCATAATTTAGTTATTAAATATTTATAAAATTATCCAATTACTTTATAAACAAAGCAAGTTTGTAACCATAGAAAAAATAATAGGACAAAAATGATAATGAAATTATGAGTAATAAAAATGTTAATAATTAAAAAAAATTATTTAATAATATTCACCATAGATATTTGAACTAAACTAAAAAAGATTAATTTCCTTCCAAACTATTAAGAAGTTTTGGAAAAAATGTGTAAATTTATTTGTAAAATAGTAAAGTAAATAAATTTTAAGTTGAAATTAATTAAATTTAAAAATAAAAGTTTAAGCATATGTACGTTTGATGTAATTCCAAATGAATGTAAGTACTTTTTGAAATAATCGTTTTAGAACGTTATTTTAAGAATGGTAATTTTAAGCAACATGTGTGTACAAAGATAATCTATGCGCGGTTCTGCGTTCAATAAGACACGTGCTACGGGAGGGTTGATCCGCTGGTTGATTTCCAATGGCGCTAAAGCTAACGTTTTCTTGGGGAAATAAACACGAAGAGCGTAACGGATCGGATTTTTTCATTTTCGGTTTGCTTCTTTTTTCTTTTTTTTTCCGACAATGCAATAGCAGACACCGAAAAAGTGTTAGAGCTTTATTGTTTAGCTCATAAATAGCAGCAACCCTACCGTTTGCAGAAATCTGTTAGCGCCATCAAAGATTTTCAGGAAAGGCCTGAAACCCTTTTCTTTATAATATTCTTATTCTTCAAGAATTCTTCTTCTTCCACATTCACGAGTGTAAAGAAATGAAAAATAAAAATGTGCGGATAAACTGAAGGAAAAACGGTGGAATAGGGAAAATTCACCTGCCCATTGTTTTATTCATTTCACTTGCTCGTTGACGATGCATGCGGGACCTGTCGGTTATGGCCGAATGAGTGCTTTCACCCTTAATTTGTTCGACATCGGTCTGCTCTAACGTTCTATTAAAGACAATTGAAATTAAATGTGCAGCTAGTTCGGGGGTCAAACGGCGTCATATGCATGCTATGGGGCAGATGCCGACTCGGTCCGATGGTCGGATCGCGGACCGCGACACCCCCTTCCGTTGATTCCATAAATACAATATATACATTTTTTTTTCCAACCTAATTTTGGGACACATGACTCGAGCCCCGCACATGCCATGCTTTCCGTGGGTGCAGCAGGGGACGAAAAAATGAAAAAGCGCGCGCTAATCACTAAATTTAACTATTTGAAAATTTATATCCTAAAAATTCCTGTTTTGCTTTTCCGTCCGGGGAAAAATCTGCAAATTAGCTGCTTCTCCCATAGAAACTGGTCAACGGAATAGACAAAAAATCTACCCCGGATCCAATTGTTCCGGAACCCGGGGGTTCCCATACGGAACACTTCCTAGATTCTTCTCACGGCACTATCCCCCAATTGATACAGATTACCACCTCGTTGCAGCTTCCTCAATGCAGCAAGACAGGGAGAGGAAGGAACCGAAAGGAAGAGGACAATGCGAATGCACATACATATCCGCATATGTGTATCACCCTAAGGTCTTTTCCCTTAATATCTCTTCATTTCGTTCACAGGCAAAACCATTTGCAATGAATAACTTTTAATTAGATGAATTCCTAGTTATCATTTCCGGTCCCGTATCAAAATGAGCGCGGATGCTGCAACATTATCTCATGCAACAATTTTATTTTTTCCTTGCATTTCAAACAGATACACACATTTATTTATTTAATTACAGAATAAATATACTTTTTCAGTGTCTTCTAAATTTCCTTCAAAAGATATATAATTTCATTATTTAATTATATAATGGAGAACTTATTTACAAATTTTTCAATAATAATGTTTGCTTTAATTCATTAATATGTTCGTTTTTTTTTTGCAAAACTAAATAATTTGCTTTTCGCACAATGTTTTGTTTATATGTTTAAACAATTATTAATATTCCATTTTGTTGATTACAATTATATATAACGAATTATAACGAAAATAAACAAATTTGCGTTGTTAGATTAGTTCTAGTTATCAAAATGTATGGAATTAAATTACAACTATGTAATAATATTCAATTTTGGTTCAAATTTACGTTTTATTTCTTTTTCTAATGTTTTAATTATATTAAAAATTACGTTTTTTTTTTTCAAACTAATAATTATTTGTTTAAAAGAAATATATAATTTCTATAATCAAGTTAATTAAAAAAATAAAAATTAAATTATTTCTTTATAATTTATTAGTTTAACAATAATTATTATGTTACATTTTGTTAAATTAATTTTGTTAATTAATTTATTACAAATTTTTGTTTAATTTGTTGCTACTTTCTTAAACATTACGTTTCCGTAAAATAAATTTTATTTTTTTCATTATTATTATTTGGTTATGTAATTATTTTTGTTTAATTTACTTTTTTCAAATGTAAATCTATGTTATATTTATAATAATATTACGCGAATTGTAGATTTTGCAAATGTTTCATTTATGTGAAGTATAAGAAAACATAGTCCAATTGATAAATAATATTAATTGTGTGCTTGGTTATTTGACTTAAAGACTTTGACTCGATGATAATGATTGATGCGAATTTAAATTTGTTTATGTAAAGGTTTGTTATCGTTTTGATGTACTTTATCGAAGATCGTTTTCCATTAAGTTCGTTCAAAATAAAATAGTAAAAAAAAGTGTATATGTAACGTTGATAGTAACTCTGGTTATCTGTGTATCCTAACTGCACTTACGAAATACGTGAATTGCGCGCCCAAATTAACGGAATTTCTTGTAATCGTAATTAATTCAAAATTGGATTTACTATTTTTACTAATATTTTGTGATGTAAGTAATAATGAAGTAATAATTTGTATTTTTTTGTTTAATTTGTGTGTGTGTGTGTGAATAATTTGTTGTTATTGTTGTTGTTTTTGTAGCAATAGTTTATGGTAGTTGTTAGGTTTGAAAGTAGAAGTAAGTTTCGGTTTACCATGTGTATCAATTTTCGCGCCCTTGCGTCTATCAACCCCTAAGGAAGGGCTCTCCCCACTCTGGCTGGCAACGGAATGGTGGTAGGGGATACTACTATATATAGTTTTGGAACGCCGAGGAGAGTCAGTTAGCTTCCAAGTGCAAGTGATCAAGTATCAAGTAAGCTCGCTGCAGTAGAGCAACGCCCGATGTGCCCATCAGATCTGGAATAAAATCATACAATCTTTGTAACAACAAAGTGCTCGTTCGAAAAATTCCGCGGTTCAGTATTTCCGTCAGATCCACGGTAACCGTACCGAGAGTGTTAATCGTCATCAACAGACCGACGAAAAGAAAACAACATCATGTTTTGGGATTCTATGAGTAACTCTTGCGGAACTTGCGAATCTACAAGGTAAATATCAATATCGCATGCATGTAAAACACGAGCAGGTGCTTTCTGCATCAAATACATTGTCTGTATTGAAATATATGTGCGGCGGAGAGAGTGAGAGAAGAGCGGATAAATAAAAATCGCGAGATAATGTAGTAGTATATATAATTTTTTTGGGGAGGAAGACCTTCAGTTTCGTTCCAGAGTCGTTCGCGACAGTTAGACTTGAATTTCTGCCGCGTGATTCGAGAGTGAAATTTGAATTGAAGGAGGTTAACGAATCAACATATTTCTTATATTTGGCGGGAATGCCTTTTAAACAGACTGCTTGACCCAAAGTCAGGTAGTCGAATAATAATAATAATAATATCCGGGGACCGGCTCATTAATATTGATGCGTTTTAATTGCATTTGACAAAAATTATGTTGTGGATGATAAATGATAAATTACAGAGCCATCCATTTTGCGTAATTATTATGTGTTTTGTAAATTTATTTTTGACCGTTCTCCTCTCGTTATCACCGATAAAGTTTAACGACCTTGTATCTAATCATTCGTTGACCACTTACAGAATGTCGAAAAACGGGCAGTGCTGCAGTGTCTACCCCATGGAGGAGTCCTTCACTGAGAAGGAAAACCAGAGCTTCACAAGTCCGAGGAGGAAGTTCGATTCTGACTTATCGATGTACGAGAGTAATAGTCCAGCTCGTATGTCATGCGATGGTTCGCCGACTCATTGCTCGTACACGCTGAGACGTCCGTTGGAAGATCACGACCACAACTCGCAAGATTCCGGATACAGTGCATGCGAATCGAGCAGAACCTCGCCGAAGAGCAAGGGCCTGTCCTTCGTGTCGCTGATCTCGAACGATGAAGAATTTTTGGACATTTCCGAATTGGAGCAGGAGAACGAATCCAACAATTTACCTGGTGATTTCAACAAGTTGATTACCGGAACCATAAAGGAGACAAAGAAATCGCCAGAGATGGTCCTCGCTCGTCCAACGATGCGCCGCGCTCTATCCATGATCGCTAGCAGCAACACGCCGAATTCCAGCAGGGTTCGATCATGCCTATTCAAGATGAACGAAGAGGTCGAAATCAGAAATTTTAAACGTCCGGAGCCGCCAACTGACTTGCAGAGCCCCGTTAACACAAAGAGGAGTCGCCTGTTTCACGAAGATCAAGTCATTCAACGCATCCCGGCCAAGCCCCTCTTCCAACGCAGCATCTCTTCCACGGAAGATAGCATCAAGTCGGCTCTGCAGCGCTCCACCACTGACGCTGATTTAATCGGCGACTTCAGCAAAGCATTCTGCCTGCCTTTAATCCCTGGTCGCCACCAAGATTTAAAATCAATCACTCCGTCTACGTTGGCCGGCATCATCCGAGGAGACTACAGCATGGTCGCCTCTTTCAAGATCATCGACTGCCGTTACCCGTACGAATTCGAAGGCGGCCACATCGCCGGAGCGCAAAACCTCTACACCAAGCAGCAGGTCCAAGAGGAGCTGCTCAACCTGAAGACAAAGAACGGCCAACCTGAGACCCAAGAAGCTCAGAAAAGACACATCATCGTCTTTCACTGCGAATTCTCCAGCGAACGTGGACCCAATCTGTAAGTATATTTTCTTATCTCTATAAGAAAACGTTACTTCTCTCCTTTACCGCTTAAAACAGGTTACTCATGTTTCGTTTTTTTTTTTTCTAATTGCAGATCTCGCTACTTGCGCAACATTGATAGATCACACAACAAAGACTGCTATCCGTCCCTACATTTTCCGGAGGTGTACCTCCTGGACGGCGGCTACAAGAAATTCTACGAGAGCTACGGACATCTGTGCGCGCCCAACGCCTACCTGCCCATGTCACACCCTGATTATGCCAAAGAGTTGCGCATTTTCAGAGCAAAATCAAAGACTCTTAACTCTGACGCCAAACAGAAGACCACCTTCAGGTCATCTTCCTTCAAGCGACTTTAATCACCAAGAGTCCGCTGCAACCATCTAGTACAAATCGTTCGAGTTTCTGGAAATTCATAGACTTGAACATCCTTGGGCAAAATACTTGTAAATATTGTATATACTTATAAAAGAATATTATATTATCTTGTACATATGTGCGCGGGCATGATTCGAATTTGATCGGGACCATAGACCTAGTCTATATATCCCGTTGTACATATATGAAGGCCCTAATAGCTTGTGCCCTCCGAAAATGGTTAGGATTGGTCAACCGCAATGCTTTTTACACCAAAGTTCTTTTTATTATTATTTTAATATTTTTTTTTTATTATTATTCTTTTTATTATTTTGTTTTGTTATCGGCGACTGCCGGCCGCAGTCTTTCCTGTGCAATCCAACATATACAGTTTTTTTTTTGTATATGTATTATTGTGATCTGGGCTCGCTTAAGAATTCGCTATGCGCTCCGATTGCGATCAATGTTTACTTTCCATATTATTTTTTTCTATCGATGTGTTACTGTTCATTTTATTCAACTAATTATATTTCAGTATTGACTATTTGTTTCCTGGTGTTACGTGCACAAATACCAATTTTTTTTTTAAACGGTGTTCGTCAATGATCGAGGAAATTGAATAAAAAAAAACTAAAAATTGTACAAAGGAAAATTTATAATATTAGTATATCGAGAATGAGAATTCCGTTTTATGTTTGTGACACTGTTTCAATGTGATGTTTAGACTGATACAATTCCTCGATCTTTGCAATAATATTTTTATTTACTAATGTTTATATATATATATTTCTTTGTTTTATTTTTTTTTTATTATATAATATATATTTGAGTGAGTGATAATTTAGCTATGATCTGTATAAATAACGCTAAATACCTTTAAAAAAAAATACATATATTTCTCATAATTTATAAAATCATAATACACCATTTGCATATAACTAAATTTTTGTAGTTTTCAATTACAACTATTCCCACTTATTGCTTTTCAAATTGGATTCCAATTAAATAATCCAATTAAAATCCAATTAGATTATTTTCAGTTTTACGTTTTTGCAGCGACGGATATTCATTCATCTGCTCGATTTCGTGGACTCGGATAATGAAACAAACCTTAATATATTCGGTGGGGAAAAAGGAGGAAGAAAAAAAAAAACGAACCCACTGCAACGTGCGGCGTTCGTAAAATTGGGGTGTTATGTTCCGTTGCATTTGAAACTAGCTGCGGGTTTTCAACGTGGGGAAAGAAAAGTTCGTTACTCTTTTAGATACGAGTCACTCTACAATAGCCTCGCTATTTAATTGCGTCAATTGACAAAATTGCTCTTTGTAGTCATAATCTTAATTGTAATTAGTCCACGCTAATTGCAACGTCTAATTTTTTTCTAACATCTTATAAAAAAAAATCTAATCTTAAAAATATTTCTGTTGCTTGTATCTCAAAATTTAAAATTTAATTGAAAAATCTATTTATTATTTATTAAATAATAATTTATTGTTACGAATAGTACAAAAATATACGATATATAAAAGTACATAAAACTATATATAACAGAACATAAAATATTGTTCATAATAAATTATTAAAATTAATCTGTTTTTTTTAAGATTTTGTTTAAAAAATATATTGAATATCATTTTTTTCCTTTAAATAAAGTATGCGTATTATATACGAATGTCTTATATATTCTATATGGTTCAGTATTTTTTTTATAAATTCAATTTTGTAGTGTTGTGCGACATCTTATGTTGTATAACTATATTTCGTTTTGGATTTATAATTTAGAAAACTTTTATTAAGGGAAGTTTCCTGGACATCTATGTCTTGTCTATAAAAGTAATTAAAATCTAAGAGCCATCCATATTCGGTATTTGGAACTTATTGAGTGTTGAAGAATAGACACGAGATGGCGCTGTTACGAATTTCAAGGATGTTGGTTAAAAAAGGACCGATCATAAATCATGTAAAGGACGACGGTGATAAATCATAGGACGATGATTTATATTTGGCCAAAACAAATAGTGGCTGCTCGGGAAAAAGGTTTTTCGGTACATACTGCATTTTTTCCCATTTTCTTCAGTTTGTTGCTGTTGTTCGCCCATTCATTGCATCCACGAAAAGCTTATAACGGATCAGAAAAAAAAAATATGAATTTTTCATTAATTACACGAATTTCCTTAGCAGAATCGATAACGTCACAAGGCACAAGTTAATTCCGTGCGTTCACTCATAAAGAATACACGTACCAGTTAGGAAAGTTTATAATTATATTACAGGTAGTGGAATATTATGTGACCCGTGCGGTTTGTGCAGCCCAAGGGTCACTTAATTAATCCCTTCATTAAACGAAACCAATTCCACGCGCCTCCTTGTTTTATTCATAAGTTTTTCGTTTCTCCATTGCGCTTTTGGTTTTATTTATTTTTATTTTATTTATTTTTTTGTTGCAGTCAAGGACGGAAGGATGTGAAAATTGTCCTGAAAGTTATGGATGCCATTCTGTAAGTGGCGCATCCAGTATTTATCGCGGACGTGAATTATGCGAGGACGACGTAAAACACGTAGTTAAATTTACCGGGAGGTCTTTATAAAACGCGTTTGTAAAAGCATTGCGCGGGGCCCTCAAATATTAACGCGACCCCCATCGTCCTCGACCTCTCAGGTACCGCAGGACGTCGCGAATTGAACTAATTAAGGAGCGCGTAAAAAGCAAACAGCCTTCTCCAATTTCCCGGAATTAACGCCGTTTCCAATACCAGTTTTAATTTTTCCCATTTTAAGCACTTCTTCCATTCCGTTCAATAAATTTCAATATTTTTTAAACCCATTTCTATTTTTTTTTTGTAAATTCCAATTGTTTTTATTTTAATGAAGTCTTATAAAAGGTTGAAGTCATTATTTATATTTATTAGTCCGCAAACTCCTCTCGATTCAATTCCAGCTTATTTTTTCATTCGAAATGATCAAAATAATAAGCTAGGATTTATATAAAAACAGATTTTAGAAAAAAATAAACGGTTTTCGAATCTCACTTTTTCTACAAAACCGGTTTTAGAATTTTCACAAAATAAAAGGAAAATCAACAAATAAACAAAACTTAGAATATTACATAAAACTATAATAATAAATGACTCTAAAATATTATTTTATTTCTTATAATTTTTTTAATTGTAAAAAACGGCTTTCGAATTATATAAATTTCTTTAAAAAATAATAACGGTTTTTAAAAACCGTCGCTTACATAAACGGATTTCCAATTAGACGGAAAGACAGTAACAACAACGAAGAGTATATATCTATATAATGAGCGGAATTTTAATTCCAATATCTTCTTTTCAACCTTTCTTCGACTAAACTAAATCAAGTAAAAAAAAAACTAGAATTTGATTGATGATATACAAATATTAACTAGAACCAGTGTTAAATCATATCTGAAAGATTGGATTTCTACTTTGGAAGATGAGATCCAGGATGTTATGGGTGCAATTGTAGAGGAAGTAACAAATAAAAAATTAAAACTTATTGAAGACATAGATAAACTTCTAAAGCAACCAGAGTTGCTTTGTAAGAAATTCAGTGTGCAGATGACAGCTTTTGGTGTTGAAAATCTCTGACTTTACAATGAGCATAAAACGCTTGAAGATCATGTAAAAAAAATAAATGCGTATTTTGAGAGATGATAAATTCATATCATTGAAGCAAGAGATCCAACAATTGTGAAAAGTTTTGATCGGCCCCAAATTATAAATAAACTTATTTTCTACACACACACGGTGTATTATGTTATAATTCCAAATTTGTTATATTTGTGTGAAAACACTGCATTTTTTGAGCGTTATTTTGTTTAGATTTGAATGCGAATTACAGCCAAATGGATAAATCTACAATTATATATGAATACTCGCTACATTCCTATAATATCCAGCTTTCATATACATCTTTTGGATCCATTCGATCTATTATAGTTTCTGAGAAAATGAAGCACTTCCTTGAAGTATACTAAATTTTAATTGGATTTATAGGAAAGTTTGAACGAAATTTACATTTGTATATGCGCTAGTTGCTTAAATGGCGATTAATGAAATGGCAAGTTGATTTGGTATCTGAAATCAGGGCAAACGTGAATTACACGTTGGAACAGACATGAGCGAAATATTGCATTGCATTTGCTGCGGATAACGTATAAAGATATCCATACGTTGCCAACAAATGAAATAACCAAGCAGACAGGTCAGACCAGAGCCAAATGAGTTCGAACGTATGCAGTATGCACTTGTGTATGTGTATATATGTGCATTTCTGCAGATTTACATGGCCACGCCATAAATGATCTAATCGCGGACTCGGAACCAATAATTGAAGCGAATTCCTAAACACGGCAACTGATGGAATTATGCAAACACCGTTGTGCACTACATCTCTAATGCATTCCGGTAGAGCTGCCGCCCCCACAGCCTACAAATACGACCACCCCCTAGAAAATGTAATATGAAAAATATTCTCCGGCCAATAAAAGAATATATGGAATCAGACCGGAACCACGTCTTCCTATAGCAGATTTGTCCCGAACGCGATGAGATTAGATTAAATCAATGGCACAGAATTAAGCAATTTTTATATACAGAAGCAGTAAAAACAAGAGAAACTTGAATATTTATAGTTTTAGAGTTAATAAGAAAAATTTAAAATCAACTATTTTTTTCGATAAATCAATAATTTAAAAAAATGTATGTTTCAAAATTGTACAGAAATTTTTACATTGACAAAAATTGTAGAAGAACAGAAAATTTTAGATTAGACTCTTCAATTAGGTTTCTTAGTATTGTCTTAATAAAAATTGAGTAATGTGAAGAAATTCTAAGAAATGGGTAAAATATAAATTTTGTATGAAAAAATGACAAAACAAAAATAGTATGATTAAAATAGATAATCCTTATTGTTATAAAAACTAATGAGAATATCTGATTTTGTGTCTACTGTTGACGGATGCTGTAGATCAGTGGTTTCCAAACTTGGAAAAAGGAACGCGTATTAAAGCAATATGGATAAAAGCACAAGAATCTATGAAATGTGAAAACACTGCTTTTTCGAACGTTCTAATTTCAATTTTTAACTTTGAACGCGTATTACAGCAATATGGATAAGAGCACAGGAATATGTCTATACTTGCTGGATTATAGTATCATGGTTGCGTAATGTGTGTAACTAGCACTAAACTGGACATCCCGGTTTGTTAAAGGACTGCGTTTAATTGCTTAAGCGTTAAATGGCAGTGGAGACTAAAGTAGGAAACAAACGTCACCTCATCGGGATTTCAGTAATAATCGGTTGAAATATGAATAAAGCGAAGTTCTCAAGGTCGTCTGCTTCTCATCTGCAGTTCTCTGTTGTTTCGTTTTATTTTTGGATTTTGACGTTGTTGCTGCAGGGAAGTAATTCGTCAGTCGGTGCTTTAATATCTTTGTGCATAGGGAGATGGGAGAAAAAGGGAAACAAAAGAATCAACCCTCTTGTATGAAGTAGTGGCATTAGCAGCGCTGCGAGTATTAAATGTTGACCCGCAACTGTCTGTTAGAGGCAGGAATAGAAGACAAAGAGCCCTAGCATAAGGATAATGGTGGTTTTCATTGTGAATATCTGGCGAACGTATAAAGTGTAGGTGAAGAGTCCATGCGAGCACATCCTGCATACCATCATCCACTCTTTGAAATCTTAATTATTTAACTCGTCTGCTGCTAATGGATGGATGATGGTGGAATGCG